CGGTGCTCGGCCTGCGTAGGTCAGGTCCCCTCTGGGGTGTGTGGTGGCCCAACATCCTTTTTTTGACCCAGGGGACCCCAAGGTGCCGGTGCTGTACAAGGTGGAGCGGACCCATACAGGGAAGAGCTTCTCTGTTCGTTCCGTAAAGGCCATCCAGCACGGAAAGCCGATCTTCACCTGCCAAGCCTCCTTCCAGCTCTCCCAGGGGAGCCCAGTGCAGCACCAGTTCACCATGCCTACCGTGCCGCTCCCCGAGGAGCTGCTGACGCAAGAGGAGCTCATCCAGAAGTTCCTGCAGTGAGTGGGCTGGAAGGGGCATGCCAGGGACGCCCTTCTCTGCGGCTGGGGCTTAGGGAGGCACAGGGATCGGGGTGACTGCCTGAGGAGTTCCCAAATACAGCTGGGAATATAGAAGCAGGACAGGCCAGGGCGGGAGCCGTGCCCCTCCTGCCTTGCTGTGTGGCCCAGGGCTGAAACCGCTGCCAGCAGGACGTGCCCCTGACCTGCCTGGCATTAACCTTGCTTCTCCGTCTTGGTCTACAGGAATCCTAACTTGGCAGAGAGATACAGAAAGCATCTCAACAAGATTGAAGCCGAAGATGTGCCGATTGACATCAAACCCGTCAACCCGCCAGATGTATTCCGCTCAGAGCCGCAGGAGCCGAAGCAGCTCTTCTGGGTGCGAGCACGAGGCTACATAGGTGGGTCCTGCCAGGCGGGTGGTCCAGCTGCCTCACGAGCTGAGGGCTCGGGCTCAAGCTCACGCTGTAGAACACGTTCGTGATGGAGCGGGACGAGAGGGTTGTGATCTGGAGGCTGGCTGTGCCCCAAGCCTGCGGGGAAGCCTGGGGATTGCAAGGCTGAAATGCGGGTGCGGGTGCTGGAGCATGAAGCGATGCCCGTGTGCCGTGCTCAGCCGCGGCGGGCTTTCTCCGGGGGGGCACGGCAAGGGGCGCGTGTCTGGAAAAGCATCTCGGCTCTGCTTGGCCAGCAGCTGACCCTCGGGGCAGCAGAGCGCCCGGGGCTTTGCCTCGTGCTACACGCCCAGGCTTCTCCCCCAGCCACGCCACAGGGGACAGGCAGTGCCGGTTGCTTTGCAGGAGAGACGGACATGAAGGTGCACTGCTGCGTGGCCGCTTACATCTCCGACTACGCCTTCCTGGGCACGGCCCTGCTCCCGCACCAGCAGTACCGTGTCAAGTTCATGGTGTCCCTTGACCATTCCATGTGGTTCCACGCGCCCTTCCGAGCGGACCACTGGATGCTGTACGAGTGCGAGAGCCCCTGGGCTGGTGAGTCCTCTCCGTGTTCCCCGGGGACCCGTGTGGCAAGGGCCAGCCCTGCCTGTCCTGGGGGCGGCGGGCCGTGGGCT